GGGGTGCGGGGGGGGGGGGTTTGGATTGCAGGGGTGCTCAGAGCTAGGGCAGGTGTTTGGGGTGGAGGAGGGGACACATGACTGGGGTAGGGTTTCAGGATGTGGGCTCCGACTGGGCCCTGCTCACCTCAAGTGGCTCCTGGGTGGTGGGGCAGTGGGGTAAGGCAGGTTCACCTCTACCTGGCCATGCACCACTCCCAAAAGCAGCCAGCAAACTTGCTCTATCCCTAGTCCTCTTGTACTCCCTCTGCTCTGTGGAGATAGGATACAGGGTGGGAGAGAGGCACCTTGACATCAGCACCCTCCTCGCCCTGCCCTGCCCGGCACAGAAAGCAGGACCCCCCTGGGGGAAACAGCTCCGAGGCAAGGGGCAGGAGATGCCCAGCAGTGTTGGGGGGGCAGAACGTGCGGGAAGGTCACATTTGGGATTCAAATCTCTGACCCATTTAACCCTGAGGCCCTCGCCCCTTTAGAGACGACTCTGCAGTTACCCAGGGGAAGGCGCAGACTGGCCTGTGGTACATTCTACCCATGTCACCGCCCTGGGGACTGGCTGCCCCAGGACTGAGGGGTGGGATGTGGGCCTGTCCCTGCTGGGCGCTGGGCACCATTCAGCCCAGGGCAGCAGGGACCCAGGAGCTTTCCTGCCCGAGGGCTGTTTGGAGACCTGTGTGGGATGAGCTGGGAAGTGGGGAGCTGGTGTCTCAGTCTAGTCCCTAGTGGGCAGATTCCCACAGCCCTTCGCCTGGGAATCCCCCGTCCCTCAGCGCCTGGAGGCCCAGGAGTGAATTGGCCGTGGAGACTCAATTCCCCTTTGTCCCCAGAGCTGGTCTCCCCAGGCCGGACGTGGGGAACATTCCTGAGTCCCTGCGGGGAAGGTTGCCCAGCCGAGCCTGCGCTGCCCCTGCTCTCAGGCTGGGAGAACTAGAGAAATTCGAACTCCAGCCCCATCAGGGCAGCGACTCGCTGGCCAGAGGGTGAGAACTGAGTCACTCGGTGCAGGGTCACCAGGGGACGTTGTGTCTCCCCAGGCGTGAGGAGGGGCAGGCCCAGCAGCCGGAGGAGATGGCTCCTGAACTGGAGGAGCGAGTCCGGGATTTCTCCCAGCAAACTGCTGTGCTGTCGAAGAGTCTGAGGGCGTTCAGAGGTACCGAACAGGGTGCATGGCACAGACTGGGGGTTCAGGACATTCAGGTCGATGGAGCCATGTAGGGGTCTGTCTACACTAGCTCATTAATTTGAGCTAGGTAGGGTAATGAGGGCAACTGGAGTTGCAAATGAAGCCCAGGATTTAAATATCCCAGGCTTCATTTGCATGTTCCCGGGCGCCGCCATTTTTAAATCCCCCTTACTCCGAACGAACTGCCCGCACCTAGACGCAGTTTAAAGTTAATCCGAACTAAATCCTTAGTTTGGATTAACTGTTACTCCTCATTCCACGATTAAATTAAATCCCAGGCTTCATTTGCAACTCCGGTCGCCCTCATTACTCTACCTAGCTCGAATTAATGAGCTAGTGTAGACATAGCCTAGATGAGTTTACTAGACATAGCAAAATGAAGCGGCGATTTAAATAATCGCTGCTTCATTTACATAAAAATGGCCGGTCGGCTGATTGTCGGCACAGCGCGGTAGTCTAGTCAGGGATCAGCTGACCCCAGAACCCTTTGTCATCAGATCCTTTATGCCTTATGAAAAAGGCATAAAGAGACAGAGGCCAGATGGCTCTCCTGCCCAGACCAGCACAGGGAGGTGGGAGTGACGATATGGCTCACAAGCCTTGGGTTGGCCATGGCTGCCCTACTCCCCATCTTACAGTCGGCCCCGCCTACCCTTTGTTTCCCTTCTGGGGCAGACGTTGTGATCTCCTAGAGTTCGTCAAAACTACATCCCTTTTTCAAGAAAGTGCTTCATTTGCATAATGGGCGGCTGCAAAAACGCGGCTTTTTCAGGAAAAGATGGCAGTGTAGACGGGGATCTTTCAAACATTAACCCTTTTTTGCAAGATTCTGTAAACCTCATTTTTTGAGGAATTATGAAAATGAAGCGCGGGGGTATCTAAATCCCGGCTTCATTTGCAATTCTCAAACAAGGGATGTAGTTTCGACACACCCCTGTTGTCTGGCCGTAGGGTATGAGAAGCTGTATACACGTCTTCAGCCAGCCATCCCTCCCCCAGACAGTGTTGCAGGGCCCAGGGAAACCGAGGCACCCACAGAGTTGGCAGAGAAGGGCACAGGC